GGGGGGGGGCGACGGGGCGGTCAGTACGAGGCGATCGGGCGGTCAGTACGAGGCGATCGGGCGGTCAGTACGAGGCGATCGGCCGGGCAGTGCCGGACGGCCGGTGGCAGGGAGCGGCTGGCGCACCTCGGGCGCGGTGTAGGGCGGGCTGCAGCCGCGGACATTGAGCGAGGACACCAGCAGCGACCCGCGCTCGACGCTGCGGGCGATGCCAAAGTCCCCGATGGCCGCGCGCAGGAGCCCGCTGCCGGCGGGGTCCGGCGCCAGGAACACATTGGCCGGCTTGATGTCCAGATGGACGATGCCGGAGCCGTGGATGAACTCCAGCCCGGTGGCTGGGCCGCCGGCGGGGCGATTGCCATTCGGGGCGCCGAAGCGTGTCAGGGGCCGGGCATCAGCGAGCCAAATGGGGCCGGCGGGCGGGGAGGGACGCACCGATGTCGCACGCCAGGCGCATGGCCTGCGCCTCGGAGGGATCGTCCTCCGACAGGTGGAGGACCCGGTCGAGGCTGGTGCTGTACAGCCGCATGACGATGGCCAGCGGGGCCACCGAGTAGCCCAGCAGGGTGGCCACATGCGGCGACATGGCCAGGGTCCACATGAGGGACACCTCGTTCTCCATGACCGACATGGCCTGCTGCGGGTTGGAGCCTGTGGGATGGGCGGGGGGGGGGGGGGGTCCCATCGCGCGTTGGCCGCCAGGCGGCGAGTGCGCACACACGCCACGCGTACGCGCGCACACAGATATACCCGCATGCACACATATGCACACATGTACACATGCACACAGATATACACGCATGCACACAGATATACACGCATACACACAGATATACACGCATACACACAGATATACACGCATACACACAGATATACACGCATACACACAGATATACACGCATACACGCATACACACACATGTACACACATACACACAAATATACACACACACATACACACACATACACACACATACACACACATACACACACATACACACACATGCACACACCCAGGCACATCAGGGGCAGGCGGCCGGAGCCGACACATGGCAGGCGAGAGGTCAGTCAGGGACGGCGGATGGGTTCGCGCGGGCGGCCGCACCAGGGCCGGGCCACGTACCGGTCACCAATTTGACGGCCACAAGGTCCTGGTTGCTGGCGCGCTGCATGAGCTCCGGGGAGAAGATCCGGGCCTCGACCACGGCCGCCTGGGCGCCCTTGCCGAGCTCCGACTCGTCGTGGAGGAACTGCACATCGCGCTTGAGGTCCAGCAGGAGGAAGCCCGGCAGGGCGATGTCGAAGATGGTGTTCATGACGGTGCGATTGGCGTCGTCCAGCTCCAGGGCCTCGGTCTCGGCGTCGTGGGGCTTCTTGTGGCGCAGGAGCCGCGGCCGGCCGGCCACCAGCAGCCCGACGATGACCAGCGACAGGACCACCAGGAACAGGAGCCCCAGGCCGATGGACAGGCCGAGGACCATGCGCAGGGGGGTGCCCTGGTGGCAGTCGGGGCATGCTCGCTCGAGGCAATCGTCGGCCGCCGGGCCGAGGCACACCAGGCAGCCCTCCTCGCAGGCGGTGCACACCAGGGCCGAGCTGTCGGCGTGGTCCTCGAAGAATGCCGGCGGGCAGGTGGCCAGGCATTGGCCCGGGGCCGAGGGCCAGGGCCGGTGCAGGACCCCCGGCACCCGGCACCGCAGGCAGTCATCCGGCCGGTCGGTGCACTCGATGCAGCCCTCCGGGCAGGGGACACACCGGCGCCCGGGGACATCCTTCCAGAACCCCTCGCTCGGGCAGTCATACTGGCAGCCGGTCCCGGCCAGGAGGAAGTACGGCTCATGGCAGGCGGTGCACCCGGCGGGCCCGGGCCCGGAGCAGGTGGCACAGTCGGTGGCACAGGCGCGGCAGGTGGCCCCATCGCCGGCATCCAGCCAGAAGCCCTCCGGGCAGGCTTCCAGGCAGTGGCCCCCATGCCGGGCCAGGCCCGGCCGGCAGGCGGTGCACTTGTCCTCGCCGGGCTCGGCGCATGTGGCACAGGTGCCGTGGCAGGCCCGGCACCGGCCGGCCTGCGGGTCGGCCCAGTGCGCATACTCGCCGGGGGGGCAGGCCTCGACGCAGCGGCCCGATGCCTCGGACAGGAGCGGCCCCTCGGGGCCGGCCCCGAGGCAGGCCGTGCAAAAGTCCCCGGCCCCGGTGCACCGGGCACAGGCCCCGGTGCAGGGGCGGCACACCCGGTCGCCGGCATGGCCGAAGTACCCGGCCGGGCAGGTCTCCGCACAGGCCGGCCCCTCCGAGGCCCCGGTGTCCGGCAGCATGAAGGACCCCTCGCGGCAGAGGATACACTCGCCGGGCTGCTGGCTGCCCTTGTCATCGGCCTCGCAGCGCTCGCACCGGTTGGGGCACACTTGGCAGGCGCCGGTGTCCTCGGAGGGGGTCAGCCCCGGGGGGCAGTCGGCCCGGCAGGTGGTCCCGAGCTCCGGCTTGTCGGCCGGCGGCTGGAGGAAGTCCCCGGCCGGGCAGGCCGTGCAATTGCTGCTCTCGGGCCCGGTGCAGGTGGCACAGGTCCCATGGCACGGGGTGCACAGCTGGGCATCGGCATAGTAGCCATCCGGGCAGGCGGCCAGGCAGCGCCGGCCGCCGGGCAGCCGCGGCGCCGGCAGGGTGAAGCTGGCCCGGGGGCAGGACTTGCACCCGTCCTCCAGGGCATCGTAGCACTGGCCGCAGGAGAGGTGGCACCGCTCGCAGGTGCCCGGCGTCGGGGCAAACCAGCCGATGGGCGAGCACTCGGCCCGGCACTCGCCCCCCTGGAGGACCATGTCCGGCGGGCAGTCGCTGCATTGGTCATGCCCGGGCCCGGTGCACCGGTCGCCGCAGCGGGTGCTGCAGGCCGCGCAGTAGCCGGCCTCCATGGTGGCATGCCTCGGGGGGCAGGCCTCCAGGCAGAGGCCATCCAGCAGCACCAGCGGCGCATGGCACTCCATGCACACGGAGTCCCGGGTGTCCGGCAGCGGGGCATGGGGGTCGCGCAGCCGGCAGCTGGCACAGCCCTCCTGGCAGACGGCACACTGGGAGGGGACATTCATGCAGTCCTGCACGCAGGGCCCCCGGGCGAGGGGCGGATCGACCGGCGGGATGGGCTGGCGAATGACCAGCGGGTGGTCGCACTCGGTGCAGGCGCTGCCGGCCGGCCCGTCGCATGTCCGGCAGTCCGGGTGGCAGGCCCGGCAGGCCCCGCCGTAGGGGCCGTCCGTGGGGGTCCGCTCGCCGAAGAAGCGCTCCGGGCAGTCCCGGTGGCAGGCGCCGGCCAGGAAAAAGTGGTCCGCCTGGCAGCGCTCGCACTGGTCATACCGCGGGCAGTGGGCGCAGCCGGCCTCCATGCAGGGGATGCACTTTTCCTCGGCCGACAGGCCGAAGCCATCCAGGCACACCGCGCACCGGGTGCTATTGATGATGGCCATGTCGCAGTGCTCCACCCCGTGCGACTGGGTGCAGCGGATCGTCCCGTCGGTCGGGTCCAGCACGCGGAACTTGAAGAGCATCTCGCACTGGTAGACGCACTTGCCGCGCGACAGGAACAGCCCCGCCGGGCAGAGGGTGCATACGTGCGGCCTGTCGCACTCCAGGCAGAGGGGGTCATCGCAGGCTGCCGGGGCGGAGGACTGGCTGCCGGGGCTGCTGGCACTGGTTGAGGTGCTGTCGGATGCGCTGGCGGAGGTACTCGTGGAGGCGCTGGCGGAAGTACTCGTGGAGGCGCTGGCGGAGGCGCTGGCAGAGGCGCTCGTTGATGCGCTGGCAGAGGTGCTCGTGGAGGCGCTGGCGGAGGTGCTCGTGGAGGCGCTGGCGGAGGCGCTCGTGGAGGCGCTGGCGGAGGCGCTCGTGGAGGCGCTGGCGGAGGTGCTCGTGGAGGCGCTGGCGGAGGTGCTCGTCGATGCGCTGGAGGAGGTGCTCGTCGACGCACTTGCCAATGCGCCGGCTGGTGCCCCGACGCTGACGCTGGCCAGGCCGGCCGAAGGAGAGAAAGGCGAAGAGGACGGAGCTCGCAGGGCTAGCATGCCGGCATAGGCCAGCGCCGCCGTCGCCGCCAGCAGCAGTGACACAAGCAAGGTCACCAGCGGCGCCGAGGCCGCGCCGCGCCGGGACATCGTGCGCAGGGGATGGCGCCCGGATTGGGGACAGGGCGAGCCAGCGGGGAGAGGGGGTGTGGGGAAGTGCGGGAAGGCGTGCGAGTCGGGTGGTGACGAGAGGGGGGGGGGGACACAAGCATGCGGATGCCGAAGCGCCCCCCCAGGGCCCGGGGGGGGGGAGGCGCCAGATGGGCCACCAATCAAGGCCCCCAGCCGCGATCTCGGGCCTGTTACTGGCGGCCCCCCCCCCCCCGGCCCCCCACCCCGCCCCCCCCCCCTCCGCGCCCCCACCGAGAGTGTCTGCCTCGTGCCGGCGGGACAGCTTGCAGCAGAGCTGTGTCAGTCCGGACTCGGGGACCCCGGTTCCCCCCCCCCCCCCCCCCCCGCCCCCCCTCGAGGACGGCCGCCGGGGCCGGGGCAGCGGGGATCTCACTGCATCGGCCGCCGGCCGGGCGCCCGAACCCCCGGCAGTGTGCCGCCGGCGTCCGGCCGCATCCGGGCGGGGGTCAAATCAATATCGGCGTGCCTTTTGAACCCGGCCGGGCCCCAGGAATGGGTGCGGCAAATGCGCCGGGGAGGGGCCCAGAGACGCTGGCCCATGAGATAGCGCACCTTCGTAGAGATAGTGGTCCGCACACGCCGGCTCCCCGGCCCGAGGTGGTGGGTGGTGGGGGGGGATTTGTGGGTTTTGGGGGCCGGCCCCGGCAAGCGCGCCAAGACCCACCGCGGCGGCATAGGCGTTGCGCCGCCCTGCGCGCGCCGGGCGCGCTGCTCGCCCGCCCCAGGGGGGGGGGGGGGGGGCGAGAGCCGCGCGATCGACGCAGGCCAAACCGCCTGCAGGTCTTGCCGCTGTTCCTGATCTAGTGGCCGGCCGGGCGGCGGCCGATGGGTGTGGCCCTGCCCGGGCGATGTCTCATGGGGAGGGGGCATGGCGCCTGCGTGAGAACCTGCCCGTCGCTTGGGCGCGCGCGCGCGGGGGCCCGGACGCACCGCGGCCCAGCCGGCCCAGCAGGCCCTCGGCTAGCGGGCGCGCATACTCCCCCCCCCCCCCAGCCTGGCGCCCTGTGCGGCCCGGGCCCGGATGCAAGGGCCCGCGCGCGCACCTCCGCCGAGCTGCCCGGGTAGAGATGATCAGCCGCATGCCTTCCAGCCAGAGCGGGCAGCAGGGGGGGGGCCTGTGTGGCCGCCCCCCCCCCCCCCCCCCCTCTCCCCCCCCGCGGCCCCCCCCCCCCCCCCCCCCCCCCCGGGCGGCGGGCGCATTCCACCCGCAGGCGTTATTTACCTGGCCTGCGCCCCATCCGGCGGCTGCTGCGGCCGCGGCGGTCGCCCTGCCAGCCCGGGGTGCGCGCCCATTCCTGGCAGTGTTGTTTTGAATTCCGCCCCCGGCCGAGGGCGCATGCCGGTGTGTTGTGCCCTGGCGGCGGCGCGCATGGGCCCCGCCTCGCGCGTCTGTCCGTCGGATTGCCGACCCCCTCGGTGCCGGGCTGTCCGCGGCCGAAGTCCGGGGGGGCGGCGCACGGCGCCCTGGCCAGCGGCGGTCTAGGGGGCTTTCCGTAGGGGGGGGCGGGGGCGTGCCCACACGCCCTCTCCCTCTCTCACGCCCCCTTTCGGCGGCGGGGGGCGGACAAGTGTGGGCGCCCACTCTTGCTGCCCCTGGGGCACACGCGCCCGGCACACCCCGGGGTGTGGCCCCCGCCCTGCGCGGCTCGCGCCCGGAGACGACGGCGGCGGCGTCTGAGGCCCGGCAGTGTCACGTGCCTCCTCGTGCGTCTCGGCGGAGGGGTGAGCTTCGGCTGGGCACGTGCGCCGCTGCCGGCGGATGGGGCGGCCGCCGATCCCGGCCCCCGGTCCCCTGCGTGTGTGTGTGTGTCCCTCTCTTCGATGGCCGGGGCATGTTGCTGTTGTTTTTTTTCTTTCTCCACCAACGGCCCCTCATTCCGCTTCCCCGACATCAGGGGCGGGGGGGACCTTGGGCTGTGCGCCCGTTGGACCGCCCCCCCCCCCCCCCGGGTCCGCAGCCAGGATTTCCTGTCTCCCGCCGGCCAGGGGTCGGACAGGCCGGAAGAGGCAGCGCCTTCGGGGCGCCCAACGCCCCCCGCGCGGTTGGGGGGGGAGGCAGCGCGCTCCGTTCCCCCTCTTCCCTCCTCGCCTTGTCCCTCTCCGCCCCCTTTTCCCTGCCCCTTCCCTTTCCCCCCTTCCTCTCTCCCCCCCCCCTCCCCCTTACCCCGCCCTCCGCTTGTCGCCGTCGAGCCGCGGGCAGCCGGCACCATGGCCACGCGCAGGTGGCGCACCAAAAGCGACCACGCGCAGGAGCACGTCCCCGAGGACCGGAATGTCGTGGGCGAGGTTGTCGGCCCCTATGTATGTGCTTGACCTTTGGGTGTGCCCTTTTGCCGGAGACCATCTGCGCTGGATGCTGACGCCGCCCTTTGCCCCGGGGGTTTTCTTTTTACAGATTGTCGGTGACGAGCTTGGCCGCGGGTCATCTGGCTATGTGAAGCGCGCCATCAACTCCGAAAACGGTGCGCATGTCCGGTTCCCGTGGCTTGCGACCTGGCGCGCGAGTGCATGCATGCGCCTTTCCACTCACCTGTCCGACTGCGTGCTGCTCCTGTAGGGCACTTCGTGGCCATCAAGCAGTTTCCCAGGTCGATCTTCTCGCCGGAGCAGGTGCGTCCCGTGAAGCGCTTTGCTTTTGATCGTGTGTTTGTTCTTTTGCGCGTGTGTGCGCGTGTGTGCGCGTGTGTGGCTCCATGTGCCTGCATGTGGCTCCATGTGCCTCCATCTACGCACATGTGTATGCATGCGCCTGCATGTACACGCGTGTGCCTCCATGCGCCTCTGATGTAGCATAGCTGACCCTGGGCTTTGCCACCGCGCAGTTTCGCGTCCTCGAGGCGGAGATCGATTCGCTCCAGCGCCTGGCGCACCATCAGAACATCGTCCGCGTGCTGGATGTCATCCGCGGCCCGGCCTACTTGAACTTGGTCCTGGAGTGTGCGCCGCCCCAGCCGCCCTTCCGGGCCCCGACGCGCTGTCGCGCCATGCTGGCCTTCCCCTTGCCCTGTGCCCCCACCCCCTTCCCATGCCCTGCCACGCCATGCTAACAGGCCCCGGCGCGCAGATGTCGAGAGCGGCTCGGCCGCCCAGATCATCGAGAACTTCGGCTTCTTCCCGGAGCCCCTGGCCGCATTGTACATCTCCCAATCGCTGAAGGTGCGCCCGGTGGCGACATGGCCCGCGAGCGCCTCTGCCTGGTGCCTTTCTTTTCCTCCTCACGCACGCCCCCCC